CAGGCCCCCCCCGGACGTACCTGTCAGCAGGGCGGCGGGTGGGCCCCATGGCACCCCGGTCTTGGCGGCGATGCCCGGCGGGTACCAGCCCTGCGCCCAACTCCCCAGCTGGGCGATCTCCTCCTCCCTGTAGTCCCTGCCTCTTTCACACACAAAATAAACCAGGAACCACCAGGCAAATCAGATCCTTTTCCCTGTTAACCCTTTGCCCTGCATCGACGCAGATCCTCCGCACCGTCCTCGCCAGCAGACAGACGGACACATACCCCTATTGTCATGGGGGACCCCAAATTCAGCCTCGCTCCCCATTTCTCTCCTCCCTCACCCATCAGTTGCAGCTCCTATTTCCCACGCCGTCCGTTTTTAGGATCCAAGAACAGCCTTAGGGTCCCCCTCGGGGTCTGAACTGCCCCTTCCTGGCTCCCGGGAGCCCTTCCCATGGCAGCTGGTGGGAGTTACGGATAATCCAGCACAGGTTGTAGCAACAGGCAAGAGCTGGGCAAGCCCAAGGCACCACAGGGCAAGGAGCATTACTCTGTGCCTCAGTTTCCCCATCTCCCAAAGGTGGGGATTTCCTTGCCTCGGGTAGCTTTGGCACAGCGCAGTCGCACTTTTCCAACCCCGCACAACTTGCTGTTGGCTCAGGGATGAGCTTTAAGCAGCCGATGTGGGGGCAGAGAGCTGGTCTGGGGGCAGAGAGCCGGTCAGGGTGCGGAGCAGGGCACCCACAAGCTGCGATAAGGGCAGGGCAAGCGGAGGTGACTCAGGCTCACAGCAGCGTCACGCTGCCCACGCAGCACCGTCTGCCGTGGGGCTGAACCTTGTCCGCTCCCCACTGCCGTGGGGCTGAATCCATCCACACCAGCTCTGCATTAACCCTTCGCACAGGACCCTGGGTGCAGCGAACCGCCGGCGCCGGGCGATGCCGGAAGGATTACGCACCTTGGACAAACCCAGCACGTCCGGATCCCGGAGGGATTTCATTTCCTGGGAAAAACCACCACGAAACGAAGCAGCTGCAGACGGAGCAAACTGTTCCCGCACGAGAGGCACCTGCGAGCGATAAACACCCCGGCGCATTTAATCCCCATCTGCCAGAAGTGGCCTGGAGGTTTTGCAAAGCTCCCGCAGCCTTTGTTCGAGGTGTCCCGGCGCCGCTGTCACATGAAGCACCCGTTCAGCAGAAAAAAAAGAAAAAAAAGGAAAATAAATAAATGCCCTCTCGCCACGCACGGGCCGGGCTGTGCCGCTGCAGGCATGTCCCCGGTCCCCCACCCCGGAGCCAGCCTGCCCTGTGGCACCGTCTCTCTGCTCGATATTCCTCAGGCTAAAGATTTAGCCGGCGAGGAACATGTTTGTTTTAAATAAACAGGTGGTACCGGGGACCTTTGCGCAGCTTTCGTGAGAGCGGTGCCAGGAGGTGACGCCTACCCGCAGCACCCAGGTCCAGAGCTGGCACAGCTCGGTTGTGCCCTGCCCTGCCCCGCGGCTGGGCTGCGGAACAAGCTCCGAAGTTTTTTCTGAAACCATCAGGATTTTAGTTGGACTACTAGCCCACGCTCGGGATGAGGGAACAAGCCCTTCCCCAGCTCACGCACTGGTTTTGGGGCTGTACGGGAGCTCAGCAGCCATTTCGGCTCCTGGTTTTCAAGCACCTGCAGGCAAGGAGGACCTGAGACACCAAAATGCACAATGCTATAAATATTTCCAAGGGTTTTCTGGGACTGGCCCCTCCTCACCAGCGTGCCGGGACGCAGCAGGACCAGGCGTGGGTGTCCTCAGGGCTCTCATCCTGGCTAATGCTATGGGGCTAGTTCACAGCTCCAGCTCTGAAGCTCTACCATAACACACCAGTATCAGACACGTCCACGACCAGCGTTTCTGGTGCTAGCACAATTCAAGGCTCAAAGAAGAGCGCTACTATTAAAGATACAACACAGACAACTCCTCTTCACATCAGTCTCCCATCAAAACCTCCCCAGCCTGCCTTCAAAAGCCCAAACCAGAGCGCTGCTGGTAACAGGCATGAGTTACCTTCACCCTTTTCTGCCTGCAGATCCTGAGGGCGCGGCCGGGGCAGCTGCCAAAACACGAACCGTTTTGCAGCCGGAGCAGCCTTACCTCTTGGCCTGGTGAGGAAATCTCCGCTGCCGGGCACATCCGAGTGGGCTGCACCAGTCAGACCTGTTAGCACAAAGCCCCTGCACCCTTCTTGAGCATCAAACAGCGACTGTCTCCCTAATCCTGCCGGTTGCGATACTTGCCAGACAAAACAAAGGGTGCAACCGGTGGCAGCGAAGGTTGGGGCGAGGGGGTGAGGAATCCCAGCTTGGAAACATTGTTCTGGTAACAAAGGCACAGTGTTCGCTCCAGCACAGCCCAGGATTTCTATCCACCAACACGAAATTCTCGGCTGCCACCACCGTGCTGGTGAGCGGGGTCCAATGCGCGGCCAGACCGGGCTGTACAGTGCCACAGGAGCCCAGCCCGGCCAGAGCCACGAGCCACCACGGAGCCCTCGCCCGAATCTCAGGGCAGAAATCAATGACCTCTCGCCACCTGTGAGTCCCCTGAGCCAAGGCATCGCTGTGCCACTGCTTCCTCCAGAGAAAAAGCACAAATCCATGCCCGACAGGCAGCCACAGCATGATTTATTTATAGCAGTGAAGAGAAACCTTACACTAGTGCTCGGGGCTGTCAGGAAAGCTGGTGTGAGGTACCAGCCCCTCGGAGAACAGAGGAATGAACCTGGCAAAGTGATTTCTGCTCCCCACATGTTCCCTCTGCTCTCATTCTTCCACTTATTTTACTGATGGAGTAACGTACTGATTTATTTTCCTGCCTGTATGCCCTTTAGCTGCTGCTGGAGGCAGCCAGATGCCTCCAGGACCTCCTGGTAAAAGAAAAGCAGGCTTATTTCATGGTGTTTGTTTTATTACAAAGCCTTCAGTTCCTCAACACACCTCAACAGAGCAACCAGGGGGGGAAAAAAAAAACAAACCCCAAACAACCAGACACACAGCTCACTGAAATACAATGGGGCTCCCCATGCCCCACCTAGCAAAGAAGGAGCGCTACCGAGCCTCTGTCAAAAGGAGGTCTGTTATCAGCACCAGGCAGAGCTCCTTCCCCCAGCTGTTTGGGCAAGGTGGGCAGCACCTGGAGGAGGAGGCCCCCCCCAGGATTTACGGGGTTCGAGAAGACGGCAGCAGGCAGGGCTCCACTTGGCTGAACGGAGCCTGGGAGGCAGCACAGATGCCAGAAATGCTGCAGAGCTGCACCCCCACAAATAAACTCCGCTGGGTGTTAACACGTTCGTCTCACAGCTTCACCGGCACTTATCTGCACAGAGCAAGGGGACTCTGCTCTGAATATGCAGACAAGGGGGTTTGGTTGTGGGCTTTTCGGCGGTTTTTCTTCTTTTTTTTAAGGGAGAAGGCAGCACACCACTGCCAGGGAAGTGACAGGGCTGAAGCGTAGCCCAGGCAGTGCTTTTGCAGACTGTTGCTGACCCAAACACACCTGCAGTTCTGGGTGGGTTAATGTTTGCTCTCTCCTGAGCTCTGGGGTGCTGGTGGCATTTGGCTTCGCTCACTTCTTTTTGGTCTTGGGGGTGTTGCATTTTCTCTCGCTCAAGTCCCACGGCAGCAGTGTCCCGATGGAGGGCAGAGTCATCATGCCGAAAGCTGCCCAGTCCAGCTGGAAGAAGAAATTGTTAGAAAGAATTCAGAACAAATCACACGCAGCTGAGTTATAGCCATCAGATCTTCCACCCGCAAAGCTTCTGGCCCAAATCCCACAATGCCAGCTCCTTCTCAGAGGTAGCTGGGATGGAAACTGCTATTTCTGTGATATTTTCTTCTGGATAACAGACACAGGTTAACTACAATCCACATCGGAGTTTTTCAGGTGACTGTAGTGCAAACCCAACACACCACAAACAGGCACTGTGCTGCACAGTTGCTGGAGTGTAATTTCAATTATTAATTGAAAGATACTTACAAAGCAAGGCGAGACCCTCCTGTCAAACTCACGCTGAGCCAGGATTCCTCCCTGCCCAGGAGCACTCAGGAAACCAACCTAAAAAAGGGGAGGAGGAGGATAGTATTTGCCACCTTCCCTTCTTGCAACAGAGCACGTGCAGTACAAGAGGGCAGCGGCATGCATCATCTCCTAACAAGCTTAAAGAGCACAGTCAGGCATATCTGACAGGGGCTACAATTGCATGAACAGTCAAATCAAATCATTCACCATCACCTGCCCACCCTCTGTGCCAGGTATGCGACAGTAGCAGAGGTGAAGTCGAAGCACGCAGCTTCGAGAGGCCACAGAATCACAGCGTGGGACACATTACTCACTCTGGGATCTGAAACTTAAGGAAAATAGTTGCATTTCCTCAAAGGAAGGAAAGTAAGGACATAGGTGAAGAAGAGAATCGAACCAGGCGGCAAAGTCAGTCCTGCCAAGAAATCCAAGTCCTCTGTAATTACAGACATCCAGACCCATGTAAGGTGGATCCAGCCGCTCCTCCTTCCCAACACCACCCTGCCCAGGGTCCGGCATGCTGGAATCTCAGTGACAACGAACGAAGACAGCAGAGCTACGGGACACTGAGGGGCAAGAACGAGGGCTGGGAGGGGAGAAATTTCAAAACATGAGAAGATCCCAAGTGATCTGGAGCCACTTGACATTGAATATCCCAGAGACAATGCCAAAATTCTCCAAGGGAAAAGAATCATTCGACAGCTCCGCATTTAAGGCAGCACTAAACTCAACAAAGAAAGGGACAGAAGTCTCAGATTTGGTATTCTACTCATTGAGGGACTGAGCCATAGAGGGACGGCAGCTCCATACGGACAATTAACAGCTGGAAGAACTGACTTTTGAAACATAAAAAGGCACCGAGACAGGGAGGAGAGTCAAGGGTATTACAAGGAGACTGCAGAAAAAGGAAGGCAAAGCTGAGAGAAGCTGAAAAAAGTCAGGAAACGGGATGTCAGAAAAGC